GAGGTGGAAATGCCATTCATCAAGAATGGAAGTGGACCAGCTTCAACAAATCTCAGGCATTTTTCTGTGTGCAGGGGGTAGAAAAGGCAAATATTAGGAGTTGCTTGGGAGTATGATTTTGTTTATGTTACCTTTATGAAGGGAGGAAAATGAGAGAACAAGGGAGTGTTTTGTCGCTGGCTTTATGTTTGGAGGGAGGATGTGACGTCTGCAGTGATGGTGTGGTTCTGTGTCCTAACTGTGGTGATGACGGGCATCTGTGCACAGGCTTCAGCTCACAGAACTGTACACACTTCATGCGCACACAGGTAACTAACAATAGCTGGAGTCCAGGGAAGATGTGCAGAGTGGTTCCTGTGGATTTCTTCACGAGGCTGTGACTGCGAATGCATAGAGTATTCTGCTATGTTTTTGTCTGTTGGATTTAAAATCTCAGAAGAGTTAGAATAAAAAGACAGATGCTTCCTCCAGCTCGAGTGCCTTTCTGTTCATCGAAGGGCCAGCTCCTCACCTCTGTCAGGAAGGTCAGGCGTCTGGGCCCCTGGCTGCCCCTCAGTCTTGTTCTGCCATTCGGGTTTTTGTGACCGTCTAACTCCCTTTGCCGCATGTAGCGTCTATACCTGCAATGTGCTCACTCTTCTTCTGGAAGCTTCCCCTTTCCTTGCTTAAGTTCTTTCTTTCCTTGGCTTATGGGAGTTTGGTTTATCCTTCAGAACTGAGCTCATCTCTGAGTTGGGATCCAGACTTGCACTTGGAATCTTTTTTCTGCCCAGCACGACCATATTCTCGGCTTCAGAGAATTCAGCCTTGGATAAAGAATCCAGCCTCAGGGTGTATTGCTGTTGCTATATTGAATTCATCATTGGATACTGGTGCTGTTATTTGGTTGTGGCTTGTACGAGTCTCTACGTTGACCAGATTTTGCTTAATGCTATATTCCCAGAGGCTTGCTTCAGTGCTTGGCAAACAACGCACTTTTGCTGAACATTTGTAAAATGAGGAAAAATATCAAGAGCTGATTTGGCGTTGGTTTTGTGCTGTCTGAGTTTCTTTTCCTGTTGTATAAAACACTCTAACAGACAGTAAAAGCCACTTCAGAGAGAAGAGGGCTCATCTGCTTCATAGTTCAAGGGCATAGCCCACCATGGTGAAGACTTCCAGGCGGGAGCTCAAAGGTCACATGACATCCAGAATCAGGATGCCGAGATTGATGAATGAGTGCATACAGCTGCTTGGTAGCCATGGTCACACAAGTTGAAAAAGTTTCTGTTTTGGTTAAGTGATGGCATTCTCCTCAAACTACAGTGACCAGCATTCTAGACTTGTTTTCCTACTGTGCCTCCTCTCCCCCTTCAGGCCCTTGACCTTGGCTGGCCAGAGAGTTAGGATCAGCCTTTAGTTCAGTCTCTCACTCACCAGTCTTTGACCATCCCTGGCAACGGATGCTTTTGATCCCTACTCCAAGTGAATAGTGAACAGTCTGTTTTCCTAATCAGAGACTTCCCTTTCATGGATTTTCTCAGATTAAATCTGTTCTGTTCTAGATGCTCCCTGCCCCCCACCCCTAGCAATTCCAACAGGGACCTTATCCATTGACTTCTCATTGGCCAATAGCTGATTTAGCCTTGGGTGAGTTGTGTAGATTTTTCCCATTGGAAACTCCTCCTTTCTGTTCCTCAGCCAGATGGACATTCAGAAATTCCAGCTCAGTGGAGCACTTTCCCTCATGTCATATTGTTGGTTCTTCTCTAGAGGATCTGAAGAGATGCCGCAGTCCTCCTGAAGGTGCTCCATTATTAAGTAGGACCCCTCAAGGAAAGGGGTGGTCCTCCTTTTGAAGCCTGCTTATTGTTTAGGAAGATCTCTTGATTCATCTCTCCTTATGACCATGGACCAACACTCTTCTAAACTGCCTAGAACACTGGTTCTCAACCTGGGAGCAAAACAACCCTCCTTCCTGCAAAAGTCTCCCAAGACCATTGGGTGTATGAGATATTTACACTACGATTCCTAACAGTAGCAAAATTACAGTTATGTAACAAAGAAATTTTATGGTTGGGAGTGACCACAAGAGGAACTGTATTAAAGGATTGCAGCATTAGGAAGGTTGAGAACTACTGGCCTAGAGGATCTACTGTCTCCTAAAAATGTGTCTGCCTTTTGTTTAGAAAGATGGCTCAGTAGTTAAGAGTACTCACTGCTCTTCCAGAAGACCTAGGTTCGATTCCCAATACCCCCATGACTGTAACTCCAGTTCCAGGGGATCTGACACCCGCTTTCTGGCTTTTATGGGTACCGTCCACCCACATGGTACACAGGTATGCAGGCAAAACATTTATAAACATAAAATTAAAATACAGTGATCTGCTCTGGGACTAAACACTTCTGTTAAACCTGCACGTTTTATCATTTTCTGCAGCATGGCCTGGCTGCGCTGCCCTTTGACAGTGGTTGCTTCTGGACAAAGGACAACGCATTTCTCTACCAGATTCAAAGAGACTTAAGCCAGTGGATTATAGTCCAAAGTTTCCTACATTCCAGCCCTTTATCTTCTCGGCCTCTGCCCCACTCCCTGCTTATTCCACTCTGCCTCTCAGGGTCTCGTGCATAGACATCATCTGTGGGGCTCACCAAATGGACGCTGAGCAAGAAGGAAAGACAGGCAGAGGATGAGACTGAGGATAGTGCAGCCCACCCTTACTCAGGGGGAAAAGGCTGCAGAGGGGTCTCTGCACGAATCAGAGACCACCATCAGCTTACTCGCTGGGGTAGTTAGAAGGCAGGGGGCAGGGAGTTGAAAGCTTCTGACTAGAGAATGGTGAGCAGTGATGGAAAGAAGTCAGGTGATCAATAAATGTCTTTCCTGGGGGTCCAAGGGCAGAATAGCCAATAATCTATAGAACAAGTTAATTTACTTCTAGAAATCAAATTACTGTAGTTACTGGAATTGTTTCCAATCAACCAAGATGAAGTTTACAAATGAGATGACCCTGGTCCTGCTAAACCTCCGTTTTCCATTTTTACAGTCTAGAAGCCCGACCGGCAATGCCCTATACAGCGGGCAAATCTTCCCACTTCAGTAAACACAATTAGGATAATACCCACAGCCGTGCTCAGTGACTGTAACCCAGGTGATACAGTCTGTCAGGCTGACTAAGGTTAGCACTGTCATACACTTAAGATGAATTTTAAGATTAGCAATTTTCTAATAGAATCATATCCACCCCAACCACACACTCACACCTCCTCCAAATAGTGCTCCCCCCACCCCACGTGTGTCTCTCTGTGTGTGTAGGTATGAGGCCTACTGCAGGACATATCCCTGAAAAAACCAAACTCTTACCCCCTCCCCCACAGCCATCAACTCTCTCAGCCCCTGAGCCCCTCCTCTATCCATGCTGGGAATTTGATTGACTTGATTTTGTGCAGGTCTTATGGCCCCGTCCTGTCTAGAAGACACCGCTTCATAGCAGCTCAAGCGCTGGCACTGCAGTCTTCCTGTCCCCTTTTCACAATGTTCCTGAGCCTCGGTGGGAGGGGTGTTACTTAGCTGGTACTTTCAGGGCTGAGCACTCTTCATAACTTACTTGCTGTGCTTTCAGTACTTCTGAGTCTCTCTGTTAACTGCCAGCCATTGCAAAAAGATATTCTCTGATTAGGGCTGAGAGCCACACAGATTATAGATATATTACTGAGTGCTGATAAAGCAATTTGATTTGTAAGATGTTTTCTTACAGTTGTGCATCATCATCATCATCTCTTAGGACATGGCTTTCGTGTGGCTGGTGTTTTACAGTCAGCTTCTAACACCTGAGCCACACCACCTCATTTTATAAAGCGGCTGTGAACCAGGAGGCCGGAAACAAACCCTGTTTATAAAGTTGAATACTTCTTGACTTTTTTATTTTAATGTTAATAGGCATAGACCATATGGAATGTATTGAGGGAAGAGAGTGCATTTGTAAAGTCAAGCAAATTTGATGTCTAAAAAGAAATGTCAGTAGAGTAGCCCACTTAGAATGTTTGGTGAGGGAAGATGCGGAGTTTCAAAGTTAAATTAGATGTTTGCATTTTAAGCATCTTGACTGACACTGGCACGTGACTCTTATTGGGATTCAAATGGCCAAACCAGCTTGGCACTCTACTATTTGAAATATATAGCTTCATTAATGAAATGTCTACTGTAAAATTATTTCCAAATTGTAAAATATGTATGTGGACATGTCACAGGATATTTGTGCGTTAGTTTCATGGAGTGTTTTTTAATTTATTTAAACTTTTTTATAAAAATTGCTGCAAAATAAATTACACACAGAAATGAACCAGACCCAAAGACTATACTAAAGCCTTAATTAATTATTCTTTATCAATAAAAAAATCAGGAGTCAGATATTGGATCTGAAAGATCCAAGAAGCAGGGGAGCAGCCACCAGTCACCCACCTCTTCCCTTCCTTCCTCCAGAAGGGGCCTGAGATCCTCTCTCAGCTCCACCTTACTACTTCCTGTCTCCTATCTGTCTAGTCCTCCAAACCTCTATGGTTCATTTTGGTCAGCTAGTGACTGGCTCCGCCCTCTGACTCTAAGCAAGCTTTATTTGTTAGAACACAGTCAAAATACCACACAGGACTAAAGAGACTTTTTTTTCAGATACTAAAAGAAGCTATTTTTAAATATTGTATGTATGCACATGTGTGTGTGATATGTGCGTGGGTGCCTTTGGGAGCTAGAAGAGAGTGTCAGATACCCTGAACTGCCGTGCAGGTAGTTGTGAGCTGTCTGATTGGGCACTGGGATCTGAACTCGGGTTCCCTGCAGGAGCACAAGTGTTGTCACCTGATGGGTCATCTCTCCAGCTCTGAGGAGCTGTGACAAGCCCTTCGTCTCGACATTGCTGTATTATAAATATTACAGAGAGATTCTTCTTTGTCATCCTTAATTGTTCTCTAACTATGTGAGGTGCCACCCCGTGCAAGCTTATCATGTTTTTCTATCTTTGCAGGTCACCGTAACTGAGGGAAAATGATGGAAGAAAGTGGAATAGAGACCACTCCACCTGGAACCCCTCCCCTGAACCCTGCAGGCCTGGCCGCGGCCATGCCCACCACTGAGGTTCACTTAGGTGGGTGTTGTGCCTAACCTCTGCGGGGTTGGAGAAGCTGGGGAAGACTCTGGTCTCCCTGAATCAGTTAGAAGGCTGTTCCTGCCTCACTAGTCTTGTCTGTGTGCAGAGAAGTAGCCCTTTGAACTTAAGCTCAGCACAGCAGTAGTCTTGTAACAAGCAAGGAGGCTGACGCTTGCTGCTAGCAGGCTTGCTCTCTACTCATAACCACTGCAGACCTAGTGGCCTTCAGAGGTCTCGTCTCTGATGTCCTAGGACTTTGTGGGGATTAATCTTTTCGAGGTTTTAGTGTCTAGGTTTCTATGTTCAAATCAGGGATGAAAACTGACCTTCTTGTCCAAGAAACGAAAATGAAAAAGAAGGTCTGCTCTTGGACGGTGCCATCCTCGAGTTGTGTTGTTTATCCAGTGGATAAGCACGGGGCCTGCACTTGTACTTGTAAGCACTATGCATTGGAAATTACACCTTTAAAATTAGTTATTAAGATTTGGCTTACCACATTAGGAATTTCCCAGGCAGTGAAAGTCTGAAAATGAGATGAAAAGCTTTTTCAGCCTTGTATGTTTATCCTCTCTGCTTTTTTTTTTTTCTAGCTGCAACCAGTTCCTTCTCATCTCCCAATGTGTCTGGGATGGAGTCCCTGACACCACATGCCTATTCCACGCCTCAGCCGTCCCTGCCCCCTGTGCAGCCGTCAGCACCCCCTCCTTTTGTGCCGATGTCTACAGCTCCGTCTGCTCCCCTAAGTGGCACCTCTGCGCCGCCCTCCGTGTCTCCGTCCCCTGCCACCGCCTTCAGCAGCCCACCTTTATCCCCCTTCCCACCTGCGACTTCTGCCTCTGGTGCGCTTTTATCTGCGCCACCTTCGGGTCCTCCTATATCAGGATTTTCTGTCGGTACCGCTTACGATATCACAAGGGGCCATGCCGGGAGAGCACCCCAGACACCGCTGATGCCGTCCTACTCAGCGCCCCCAGTCACAGGTGATCGCTTACTGTTCCTCAGTACGCAGCTGCATTTGGCGCTTTATTGCCGTGTGCCGGCTTTGAGTTGGGCTGCGCTGTGCTTTGTTTGCTAGACAGTGATTTGAGGCGGATGGTATAGTACTATTTTAGTTTATGTAGATTTGGGCACCTGCTGCTCCTGGGGCTTTGCTTTCTCGACATTCATGATCTAGTCTCGCTCTGACTTCCAGAGTTTCCCATGCTCATCTTTTTGCCACTTAAATTATTAACAGTAAAAATAGTATAACTTTTTGTGTGGTATAAAAATTGGTTTATGATTGACATTTGAGGTTTGAGAAAGACTTCTCATATTCCATGCTAATATTTGTTACTTACTGATAAGCTGCAGGTTGCAATCCAAGAGAACCAGCTTCCCTAGGGAGTACATTTTATCTAGCCAGTCCCGTGTGCCAGAAGTGGGTGATATGAGGCCATTTCTTTCCTTAGGCCAACTACATTCGCTCAGTCCCCTTCTTTAGTATGGTTATGGAAACAAATTATCAAGACCCAATCTTTGTTGTCTCCTGTTCATCATTTTAGGGTAAAGGAGCACTTTAGCTTTGATTATTTATTATCCAAATTGACCTATTTATCTTTCCAAATAAAATTTATTATGGAGCATAGACATTGCATGCTTACCTGTGTTTACACATGTTTTAAAAAGATTTATTTATTTAGTATGTGTGTGTGTGTGAGTGTATGTATGGCCATCATATGCACATATGCACACATGCATGCACACAGTTTAGGAGAGCAGCAAGTTGTTTTATCTGCTACAGCTGGAGTTAAGATAGTTGTGAAGTCATCTAATGTGGCTGTTGAACCTCAGTCCCCTGCAGGAGCAGCCAGTGCTGTCAGCTGTTGAACTTTCTCTCCAGCCCCAATGGGTCCAAGTTTTCCTTTGGAAGTATAGGGAGTATGTGTGGTGATTGTTGTTGTTGTTGTTTTAAATGATGGGCTGAGTACTCAATTATTTTTATGGATTAAGGAGATTAGTCCACCTGTCATCCAAATGCTGAACAGGAACATGCACACACAGACACCTGAGTGTGTGTATGTGTGCTTGTATTTGTTGTTTTTCAGGACACTTGGTATAAGCCTGTGTGAAGGGGAAAATACCTCTTGAGGGATTTTTGCATCTTGCTTATAGAGGTCTGAGTTAATAACTTCATCTTTAGGTGCTTCAGTAGTTCTGTGGTTGAATTTGTCTTGAGCTTCTCATATGATACATCTTTTTATAGGAAAACATTTGTGGAATAAATTACCCAACTAAATGTTTTGCCATTGACTAGGTATTCTGCCAGCCCCCATTACTCAGCAAGCCAGTATGACATCTCTGGCACAGGGACCTGGAACCACATCAGCCATTACTTTCCCCGAGGAGCAGGAAGATCCTAGAATTATTCGAGGCCAGGATGATGCACCTGCCGGTGGGATCTGGGGCTTTATCAAGGTAAGGTTGTTTGCCTTTCAAATCACTGTTCAATTGTAAAACTGGCAGGGTATCCAGTAGAGAAAGGCAATATAGGGTAGGAAGGCAGTGCTCTGAGAACACAGTATGGCCTAAGGGAAAACAAGCCCTTTACGGCCAGGTTTCTGTAGCTGATGCTTACCTTTTGTCTATGTGTCTATACCCATGTACTCATTCTCTTAATAAGAATCCAGATGGATTAGTGATATGCATTGTGTTCTTTGTCTTTTCTAGACGACTTCATTCATGTCCTCCCAGCTGTAAAATTGTCTGTCTGTCTTTGTTTCTTGTGTATTCGGGGTCTGCATATGTTTGTAAGTATGGACGGATGTGCGTAGGTGTGTGTGTGTGTGTACACTCAGGTGCGTGTGCACATGTGAATGTGGAGGCCACCATAAAGGGTCTTCCTCTGTTCACCTTCACCACATTATGTTTTGAGACAAGCTCTGTCACTGAATTTGGATTTGTCAGTTCATCTTGCCAGTGATCCTGTCATCTGTGCCCCGTCCCAGTGTGTAGAATGAGGGCCGGCTTGTTGGGGTTTCTGTCCAGCCCAGTACCCCAACAGCCGGCAAGCAACAAAGAAAATCACACACAGGACTCCATAAGGTTATAAACTGATTGGCTCATTAGGTCAGGCTTCTTGTTAACTCTTATAACTTATATTAACCCATTATTCTCATCTATGTTAGCCATAATGGCTCAGTACCTTTTCCAGCAGGGGCAGCTTACATGTTGCTTCTTCAGTGATCTGCGCAGGAGTGGCTGAGAGAGCTTCTGTGTCCCAGAAAACTCCCAGTCTCTTTGCTCCACCCCTACTTCCTGTCTGGCTTTCCCGCCTATACTGCCTGCCTGGCCAATCAGTGTTTTATTAAAATATGATTGACAGAATACAGACAATTCTCCCACACCACCAGTGCGAGGGCTTTAAGACACGTGCTGTAGTGCTCTGCTTCCTACGTGCTGCTGGGTTCTGAACTCAGCTCCTATACTCACATGGAGTTTACTGATCGAAGCATCTCTCCAGCTCTGAATATTCTTTCTTTAGAATATATTTCTTAATAACTTCATTATCATTGACACTGTTGCATAATTGTGTTTTATTTTATAAATCTGTTATCACTATTATCCGGTTGTAAGTTTTTACGTCATTTTACTCTCTTTAATTGAGAAAAATGTGTAAACATGTACATTTTTTGTTGTTTTTTTGTTGTTTTTGGTGGTAGTGTAGCCTGAACCTGGGGTCTTACACACACTGGTAGGCACTTTATTACTAGCCTGATCCCCAACTCTCTTTTTACTCGCAGTCTTAGAAAGGCTCACTTAGTATCCCAGGCTGGTCTAAAGCTTGCAGTCCTCCTGCCTCATCCTGGCTTGTAACAGGATCACAGGCCTGCACCCTTAGACCTGATTGACATGATGCAGCCACTGAGCCATACAGCGGTCCCTTCTGATTTTAATTCTTAGAAATAAAACTACTTTGCACTCTTGTATGTACATCTTGTTGGGCATCTCTGACATCATTAGTTCCTGATGAAAGCCCTATGATGCCCTAGAACTTCCTGTGTGTTGCCTTCCAGTAGCCACACCAGCACATGTTGTTCCGCCATTGCTCACACGGCAGCAAAGGATGTTAATTTGGAGTATTGTATTTTTTTTTCTGATTTAATAGACAAAAACATTTGAAACCTTTATTTATTTATTTTTTTTTTTTTTGGTGCCTGAGTATGTGTGTGTTTGGGGGGGGGAGGGAGGGAAAGGGGTGTCCCTGGGTTGAAACATAGTGACTTTATGAGTGATCTCTACCATATATATTGAGGTCCACTTTCTTGCTGTGTCCAGAGCTTTTGGTTTGTACTGGCCTGGCTTGCCAGCTTGCTCTGACTCTTCATCCTGAGCATTGGGATTACATATGGCCCCCACACCCATGTGTGTGGGTTCTGGGGATCCCAACTCTGGTCCTCATGCTATGCAAGTGTGTTACCTTACAAACCAAACTCCCAACCTTGAAACCATGTTTTAATTTTTCATTTCTTTGCTATTAATTTTGGCCTTTCTTTTCTCCATGAAATTTTGTTGTCTGTATTCTGTTCATCTTTACCCACTTTGAATTTGGGAAGCTTGCTTCTCTAAGTGAGTTTAAAAGCTCTGGCTTAAGCAATGCTATTTTAAGATGTACACATTACGGCCTTTTCCATTTTAATCTGTGTTTTAATTTTATTACGCTCTTTCCTCACAAAGTGCTTGTGTTTAGAAGTCATTGTGTGCATCTCTTTCAGTTCTGTATGTGGAAAGAATACCTTGACATTCCATCTAGGTTTTTAAACATTTCAGTTCTAACCCTGAGCAGCCCAGTGTAGCTGATGTGTGTCAGTACACCGGGTACAGCAGAGCTGAAATGTAAGTGTTTTCCAGCCTCCTAATGGAATATTTTGAGGTCATTCCCTCAGCAACCCAATGCTCCCCTTATTTTGTTTACTAAATTACACATTAGTGCCAGTCTTTGGGCTTTTGTTTTTTATCCCATTGAACCTGGCTCTGTAATAGTAGCACACCATTTAAACTAGGTTTGGTCATTCCACTGATGCGTGCTGAATGCTTGCTGTGTGCTCTGGTTCCGGCTCTGTGAGCCTCTTACAATGTTTTCTCTTGACATTCACTTTGCTGGTCCTTCCACTTTTTTCTTAAGAAAAAAGAATTTTGAACTCATTCCATCAACTTCGTCCCAGGGTTCTGCCGAGAAGCTGTTCAGTTTCATTACATACGTTAAGCACAGTTTTAAACTAAGTGGTTAATATGGTCATGTTTCAGGAATCTGTTCTTTCTACACTTGCTTTTATGTTTCGCTATGCTGTGAAATCTTTTCTTATATAGAAACTACAACCTTCTTCCTGCTTTGTAAAGAGACTTTCGGTTGCTAGTTATAATACCAAGTTCAGCTCTCTGGGACTTGTCACAATAGTAGCAATATGATTTTATCGTGAGGTTGCCTGACAGTTCATGGTGCCGTTGGGCTGAAGAATCCAGAAGGGAAAGCCACCTAAGGAAGAGATTTGGGAATGGGGACAACAAGAAAAGGAGCTTGGATAGAACATGTGAAGGACGAAGTTATGCATTAAGGCAGTCAGGAGCTATTCTGAGGGATAAAGGTGAAAAATATTTTTTACTGCCTTCATTTTTTTTTGGGAACAAAGTGTGGCCTTATATAGACACATGGTTGCAGTCCTCATTTGGAACCCTGAGGGATAAATCTTTCCTATACATGTATTTATAACCGAAACACACTTTTCAGACTAACACTTTTGAGCAGCGTTGCTCCAGAGCCCTCCACAGACTGCCGCTGGCCTGCTTTCTGTGCGAAGGAAAGAAGCCAAGAGCACTACTTAGAATCGTAGTAGGAATTTGATACTGATTGACCTCATTTTATTCAGAGATTCTAAAAGTACCATTTGCATTTTTTAAAAAAAATATTGGTGTATCGATGCCTGGGAAACTTAAAAAGAAAAGTTTCCTGTGTTGGTCTTGCTGGTAACCACAGCTGTTGTGAGCACAGTTGCAGTAGCCGGCCATGTTTGGGAGGCACCACTTCACAACACTCTTTGCCAACCTTTGGCTTTCACGATTTTTCCACCTCCTTTTCTGTGATGTTCCCTGCTCCTGGGTAGTAGTGTGGTTAATACAAGTGTCCCTTAGTGCTGAGCGCTCCCATCTTATTCCCAGCACTGTGACCAGCTGTACAACTCTTGAGTGACAAACATTTAAGCGTAGATGTGATAGAGGATCTCAAGGCTCTACCTGCAGGAGCCATTGGCAGTGAACAGTAGCTGAGGGAAGGGAGATCATTCTTCTTTAGGAGGTGACCGCTGGCAAGTTGCCTGTGCTCCAGGGGGTGTCCCCACATCCATGCACGTTTGTGCAGCACTAACTGACATGAAGTTGAGAGTAGTGTGTTGAGACATGGGGAATTTGGAGAGGGAAAGGGAGTAGAATAATCATACTTAATAGTTTTCATGTATGATATTCTCAAAAATAAAGTTTTTAAAAAGTTCTGTCATGTTTATGAAAGTCAAGGTATTCTTTGCTTGAACTGAACATTTGAATCTTGCTTTGTTCAGGGTGTTGCTGGGAATCCTATGGTGAGATCTGTGCTTGATAAGACCAAGCATTCAGTGGAGAGCATGATTACGACGCTGGACCCCGGCATGGCTCCCTATATCAGTATGTATATAACTGAGCCCAGTATCGGCCATGTTTCTAAAGTGTTCTGTTGTAATTAGAAGAGGCGGGCTACATACCACCGTCTGGCTAGCTTATACCACAAAATAACAACACACAAATTGTAATCATTTAAACACTGCCTGGCCCATTAGTTCTAGCCTCTTATTGACTAACTCTCACATCTTGATTAACCCATTTCTATTAATCTGTATATCACCATGTGACTGTGGCTTACTGGGATGAGTCTAACCTATGTCCATCTCAGAGAGGAGAGCCATGCGTCTGCCTGACTCTGCTTCTTTCTCCCAGCTTTCTATTCTGTCTACTCTGTCTATCTAAGCTGCTGTCCTATCAGAAAGCCAAGGCAGTTTCTTTATTTGACCAATGAAAGCAGCACATAGAAAGAAGACCCTCCTATATCAGTGTTTGTCAGTTTCACTCACAATTGTAGTTTCGGTTCATTTCTGTCATGTAACTGATAGAAATTCCTCCTGTGCTCTTAATTCAAATTCATTCTCAGCCTGAGTTTTGTGTAACTAATTTTTCTTTTGCTTAATCATCATTGTATAAGTTTTAGAACTTCATAGTATGAACTTTGGAAGAGGGAAGGAGTAGTTTGATTGTGGGTGGATTTTTCTGGCAGCTGCTCCCAAATAACCATATAGAGACTTAATTATAAATGCTCAGCTGATAGCTTAAGCTTGTTACTAACTAGTATAACATGAATAATAAAAACCCAGAGACAGATATTGAGATTCAAGCTGAAGATCAGAAAAGCAAAGCGGCCAACCACTGGCTCTTACCTCTGCCTCAGACTAAAATGGGTGATCCTGTCTCCACAAATCTTTGACTGAGACTGAGCATGAGACCTGTTTCCTCCCTTCTTATATTACTCTCTAGTACTGGGACTAAAGGCACCACCACCTGGCTTCTATGGCTAACTAGTCTGCCACCACTGTCTGGCCTGTATGGCTGACTAGTGTGGCTGCTTTGCACTCTGATCTTCAGGTAAGCTTTATTCACTAAAACACAAATAAGATACCATTATAAACTAGCTCTTACACTTTAAATTAACCCATATTTCTTATCTACACTCTGCCACATGGCTTGGTACCTTTGCTCAGCTTCTTCTCTTTGTGTTCTTTTTGTCTGCAAGTTCTGCCTAACCTCTAACTCATGCAGCTATTGGCCAGTCAGCTTCTTTATTAAGCCAATCATAGTGACATAAATTCACACAGTATAAAGGCATCTGCCACATTTCCTCCTTCCTGTCTAATTAGAAAGGGTGGTTTTAACTTTAACTTAGTAAAATTATATTCAACAAAACCAATTATCAAGTAAGAATTATACTTATAATAGCTAGTTTGTTTGTATTTGGCAAATTTAGTGAAAATACTGTCTATTTTACCTTTGTGAATCTAAAGATTTATACCTAATTTACCTTTTTATCATAACTAAGGAAATATTTTAATTATTTAATCTTTAACCCTCAAAGAACTCAGAAGGGTATAATGTTACCTAAGGACAGGGGCATCTGACTGCCTGAACAGTCACCCAAGTTCTTTGTAATATTGGGACATCGTACAAGCCTAGTATATCTGACAGACATTTTTGAGAAGCAGGGAGTTTTGAAGCACTGACCTACCTTGTCTTAGCCAAGTTTGGCAGTCACCCTTTTTTTTGTCCTGCTGGTTCATACTCTCAGAAATTAAGGCAAGGGCAGTTTCTTTTCCCCAAATGGCTAGCTTTTACCATAAAGAAAACAAACTCCATATGGGTTTTCTTCATTGCCCATCATCCTCTTTTGAAGCAAATTATTGCTGTCAGGAGCAGACATATTTCACTGTCATGAAAAGCCTTAGGTTATTAAACATATTGAATGCCACATTCTGTAGGTTTTTGAAGTATTTGAAGACCGTTTATCTGTGTAAATATATCTGCGTATGACCTTGAAAACATACCTACTATGGCTACAAGTGTGATTATTATAGACAATTAACTACTAAATTGTACTTTTAATTATACATTACATTTTTTAATGAGTGATATAAGCATAATTCCCCAAACAAGAGTAGAAACCATACATACAGTATAACAAAATTAACCTTAAATTTGCACCATTAAACCAAAATCCATACCAGTGTAAACTATTTTGAGATTAATAGTTGTCTTTTGAATTAAACCTACCTTTTTATCTCATCATTTTTATATTATATTGCCCTTTTTTCCTTTAGAAAGAGGTCTTTTATTTAACCCTTTTTGTCTAGCTTTTTTTTTTTTTTTGCTGGGATTAAAGGTGTGTGCCACCCATCCAGAAAAATGCATAAACTTTTATTTAAAGGTAACATACATATCTGTATTCATACAAATATAGCTTGTGTTGTCCACAAGATAGTCAAAGATGATTTTTTTTTGTTTTAGTTTGAGCAGGTAAAATATATTTTATGTGTTTTGTAGGTTTTTTTTTTAGGTTTACTTTATGTTTGTACCCAGGATTTTCAGGGAATCTTCCCAGATCAAACCTGATCCGTATCAACTTGGAATGAGTTCACAGCCTCTACCCCAAAGCAACACACTTTTTACTTCCATTTTGAAGTCAAGATATTTTTAAAATATATAGGTTGGTTTAACTCAGCAGTTTCCCTAATGCAGTGTGTCTTAGCAGCTGTCGTTCATTCCTCAGCAGTCGGAACATTCAAAGGCAACATGACACACAGGATCCAGACTCCCCATGTGTTTTCCATCTTTGTGTGGATTTTTACCATTATATTACTTTATTCCTTCTTTGAGTATTTTATTATTTTTAAACTATTTTTTCTATGACTGTCAGTATCATTTCTCTTTCTCTCACAAGCCTATGTATATGTTAGACACATTGTAGCCCATTTCGTTTTTTTTTTTCCCATCCGTATCTGTCTTCACTTCCTGTCTGTAATCCTTTCTGTTTGCATGATAAAACTTAAACCCGCCATGGGGCTTGTTCATGGTGTGCTGGCAGGGCTCACTCTGGCAGTGCTCTCGGCTAGTATGAAAGACTTGAGAGTAGGAAGCCGCATGTGGCTTCATTTTTGTATGTTTAGAATCTTTGTGAAGCTTTCCCAGGTCTTAGGTGGATGTAGGTGTCGGATGTTTGGGCGCCATTTGTAGGTGGACTTTTTTTGTGTTCCAGCAGCTGCTCCCAACAGAGACTTAATATTAATTATATATGCTCAGCCGATACCTTAAGCTTTTTACTAACTGGCTCTTACATTATAAATTAACCCATATTTCTTATCTGTGCTCTGCCATGTGGCTTGGTACCTTTTCTCAGGATGGCAAATTCATGATCTCAAAAATCAGCAAAATACAAACAAATGTAAAATCCCAAAGAATTCTTTATGTTTGTGACCATCCAAAGGACTCATAAATTTGACTTTACTTGATATATTTATTTTCATATTTATATATCCATACTAGTCTAGTTGGAGATACTTAATAATTATATATTTATTTACTTCTTGTGTACATCTTTGACATTATGGAATGAGCATTTTTGGAGCTCTTGCTGTTCCATTGGGCATACTTTATTAGAAGTCAGTTCTTAGAGCAAGACCACTGAGATGGCAGGTGTTTTCCTACAAAGAAACCAGCCCTGTGTCTTCCTCAAGGTAATGAAGCTGGTTAATGAGAAAGCATAGAATTCAGCCGTTGAACTCTCCTACTGGTACCCTCTCCTAAGGTTGTTTGACTGTAGAAGACTGTGCTTCAGACAGGAGTTAATGTGTTCTGGAGTGTTCATAGAATACTGAAGAACTGTGCTCCGGTTACCACAGGAGGTGTGTGCCAGTCTTGGCTTGTGAGAGAGACTATAGAGAATGTGCTGAATTCCCATCCTTAAAATGCAAGGGAAGTTGGTAGTTTGATCAGAAGATGTGATAAAAAGAGGATTTGTGTCTGACCTGGGTTTTAGTCCTGACAGTATTGCTTAGCTGTGTTATGGTGGGTAAGGTTCTGTCAGCCTAGCTCACATGTATGAGGCTGGTAACAGTAAATACAGTGTAAGCTTATGATATGGTAGTAATTACTAGAAAGTTACTGTTAAATTTGGAATTGAAGTTCCTTTTGGTTTCTGTAGAATCTGGAGGTGAATTGGATATTGTTGTAACCTCAAATAAAGAAGTGAAAGTGGCTGCTGTCCGAGATGCCTTCCAGGAAGTCTTTGGCTTAGCTGTGGTTGTGGGGGAAGCTGGACAGTCCAATATTGCCCCACAGCCAGTAGGCTATGCAGCTGGATTAAAGGTGAGTGTAAAAGCTTTTCCAGAGTTTGGGACCTGCAGTTCATTTGCTCATAATTATGATAATGATCCTGTGGTCTGTGGGGGACTACTGCAGATTTATATTCTAAAGTACCAGCTTTATTCTTAGTCAGCACTGTAATGTTATGAGGGATATAAAGGAATTTTAATTAAATAAGTCTCTGTTAGGTTTTGATTATTGGAGGAGGATGGCAATTTCATTAAGAACAAAAAGAATAGATGATCTTGAAAGGAATCTTTGTAACTTAGTATTGCCTTTTAAGTCAGTTAATGAAATTATAATATCTGTTGGGTGCCAGTAGACACACACACATACACACACTACTCTGTCACATTGTTACAAAGACACAATCATTTAAGAACAAATGAAGTTGATGGCATCCAAACATTTTCCTATCCTAAAGCAGGGGAAGGGAAATCCTACCAAGTTCTGTGACTTCACTTCCCCTGTATGGTTCTGTGACTTCACTTGCCCTGTGGGGTCTGTGACCTCACTTCCCCTGTGTGGTTCTGTGACCTCACTTCCCCT